ATCAAGAAATTGGACATCTTGTGAATAGTAAATAATATGTGATATAAAAATTTGAGTTGTGATCTATAAAGTTTGTAATTTGTGATCCATAAATAAATTGTAATCTATAAATTTTTTTGATTTGTGACTGATGAATAAATAGTAACTTATAAATTTTTTGATTTGTGACCATGAAATAATTTGTGACCAATTAATTTGATAATTTATGACCATATAATATAAAATTGTGACCCTAATATATTTAATTAATAAAATATGTTTTTAATTAATTATTTCATAAATAAAATTTTATTAACATCTGAAATTTGAAGTTTAAAATCTTGTTTCTTGATTTTGAAATGAGTCATACTTAATTACTTAGATATAAAATTTTCCCTATGAGCAATATCGACTGTTTTATTTTCATCGATCTTTTTTTTTTTTTTTTTTTTTTTGAAACTAATAATAGCTATATAAATCAGAGAACAAGCTGCATTTTTTGTTTCAGACTTTTTTTTTTTAATTAATGGTTCATATTTTAGGGAGCGTGCAAGTTGTAAATTTTATCATTGGATTAAGATTTATTGTTTCTGTGGAGAAAATAACAAATTTAGTTAATTTCATTTTTCTTTATTTTGTGTCAGTATATTATGTAGCCTAAAATGTTGTCGAAAAGGATTAGGAAAACCTTTTTTCTATTTAATTTAAGTAATTTTCTAATACAATTTGAAATAATTATTGATGTTAAAAAGTTGTTTTAGTGGTTGTGAGTGAATTTTAGCGCTTGTTTGATTTAAATAAAAATTTGATTTTTAATAGATTATAATAAAATTTGATGGAATCTAATGTTGAAAACTTATGAATGCTATGAATTGTGTGATCATAATTAATTTTTTCTTTGACTTAGATTTTAATTTGAACCAAACAGGATTAAGTTGAATTTTTTAAATGTACTTATTGTTGTCTTTCTCTGTGTTACTTTCAACTATTAATTTAAAATTTGACGATTTGAATAAGGCATAATACATTAATCAAATTTTTATAGTAAAGTCGTGCATTTATCAAATTCTTAACTTCGACGAGCATGTTGATGAATCCATACCTCATTGATATTTGATGGATCTATCTGCAAGACGTAGAGACATGGTTATACTTTTACTCCGAAACCAAGTTTACTTGTAGACATGGAAGCACATTTGGATTGAAAGTACATAGCCCGACATCAAAATGTGAAAAAAAGATTAAAAATATCTTGAATTCTTGAATCTTTTCAATGGTTCTTGATCAATATCTTTGAATCACCTTTTTCTTCTTCAAAATCCAAGCAAGTGTATTGAATTCGGGGGTGAATCCAGGAACATGATTCAGTAGGGGCGAGACAAAATTATGTGTTAAATATTTAAAATTATGGGGGCTATTTATAAATGTCAAAAATTAAGGGCCCGTGGTTACAATAATCAACATAAGAACATGTATTTTGTCCCAAAGGCTTCTCCCCTTAAAAACTAAATGATACCTCTATAAGTAAAATGTCTCATGTTTTCGTACAGATCAAGAATTTAAGATAGCTTTATAACCATATAGAGTCTATATCATGCCATGTGCTGTACTGCTTCATTTGAGTTTACTCTTCTTTTTTTAGCTTGAATGAGGGTTTTGGGGTTGGCCCTTTGTATTTTTTAAACATTTTAAATGGAGTACAAGCCCAATATAACCCAATCCTTTACAAAATTGGTCCAAAACTAGCTTGGTTCAGTCTCACCAGTTCAACGGGTTAGAAGTAAATCACAGTAGTTGTTGAGCTCTCTTTCAGTTTCCAACCCAACAGCTCAATAGTATTTAAATTCTAATATGATTCCTTTTCTTAAAAAAGAAAAAAAAGAAAAAAAAGAAAAGGTTTTTAACTATAAATATTCGTTTCATTTTTTTTTTCAATTATGACTTAATTTAAATCGCATTAAATTCTCAAAAAATAAGAAATTACGAGTTGGGCATGCATGTTCAAAATATAAGTAGGTTCGTGGGCCAATTTGGTCCTCAAAAGACAATTCGGACCTAGCTCGAACCACATTGGTAGGTGTTTAGGTTCAAGTCTATAATGGAAGACGAATTGGGTTTTGTTATAGGCATGTCGTTACCCTTATTTTGACATCTCTACGTATTAATTAATAAAACAAACAATATGAAATTAGGATTTATTCATTTGCGGTTTTTTAGGTGTTATTCCTTCTTTATATACAAATGGTGCTCCTGAAAAATATATTGTATTACATGGAAAATGTGTTTGAGATGAAAACTATCAATAACACAAAACTACCATAATACTGCCAAAGCCAAAGCAACTAACAATCTAAGTTCCCAACCCAGCAGCTTCAATTCCTTTACATCCAATCAAAATTTGAACCCTAAGCAGGTTATAGTAAGAGTGGGCGCGACCTTGATCAGTTTGGTTAATACCAATGGAAATCTTAAAAATGGAATCATTGGTTTCCTATTCAACTATAGAACCGAAACAATCTGCTCCAATTTAGTCTGTCCGTTCCGGTTCTTTATGTTGAAAAATTATAAAAATAAAAGTATGGAACTACTTGTCAATTGTAAAAAGACAAAAATAAATTATGAAACCACTTGTTTTTTTAATCTAACAACACAAAAAATCAATTGAACAAGGCAATAAACAAAAATTCAATCCAAATCTCAAGATCAACTCATAAAGGTGAGAAATTATTAAAAACAACATAAACGTTAAAATCTCGATTAAAAAATAATCTTTAAGAAAATTCGTATAATAATAACCTAATTATCTTTAGTAGTCCGCACGGATCTTGATTCCATGGCCAGTCACTTTGCACACAACGAAAAGTGTGAATTCTTATGAAATATTGGACTAGAATTAATATTTTTCCTTTGGGTTTCATTAAAACTATAAAGTTGTAAAGTATTTATAAAATTATTTAAATTTGAAATTTGATTATCTACTAAAGGAATGAAGAAGAAGCATATGAAAAAGTGAAATTTTAACGTGAGATAATTTTGGGGTCTAATGTTCAAAAATCTAGTCATAATGGTGTAAGTAACAAGAGAAATTTGAGAGAACCAAATTCATTATTTGTTTTTAAGACAGTACTGAGAATCGAAATATAACATATCGATTCTCGATGTATTATCCCAAAATTGACCTATTTTGTAGAGGAATTGAGACCAAACCGACATGTTCTATTTGGTTCAATCCATTCCACATGTTCCAGGAAAAAATGCCCACCCCTATGTCATTCATAGTGACTGGCACATTTTATCTCTTAACTGACAATAAAGGGTAAAAATAGAGTCTTTGGCCTAAATAGTACTGCCTACCTAGGCAATGGGCTCATATCAACAGGCTCATCGTAAGTCCTAACCAGGCCTGAGACGAACTGGTGACCCAACAGAAGGCCTATTACAGCCTGATACAAGTAAAATAATAATTTGAATACTCTACACCTAAATATAAGCTCAGCTGGGCTAATAATTCGTCCAAATTAGTTAACTAATAATTTGGGAAAAAATCATAAATAAGTGATTAAGTATGATACATTTCAAAATTAAGAAATAAAGTTTCAAATTTCAAAAATCAGATATTTTAAAATTTTATTTTTAAAATTAATTTATTAAAAGTATATCTTGCTAATTAAATATATTGAGGTCACAATTTTATATAATTTGATCACAATTATCTAATTAATTAGTCACAAATTAATTTTTTAGTTACAACTTATCAAATTATTGATCACAACTTATTTCTTGATCACAAATAAAAAATTTTTTAAGTCACAGATTATTTTTTGATCATGAAACAAATATTTTATAGATCTTAGATTATTCATCAATCACAGAATCAAAATTTTTATTGGTCACAACTCATCTATTCATTGCGAATCATTAATTAATTGGTCACAATTAATTTTTCAATCACAACTTAATCAATTGTGAATCATAGTAACAATTTTTAGGTCATATATTACAAATTAACCAATTATTATTCTCAATCAACCAAATAATTGGTCACAAGTATCCAACCTCATTTCTTCCCACTCCGACCACTGCCATGACCATCACCACCACCACCACCACCGTCACTGTCACTGCTATCGTCGCCACCACAACAGAGCACCGTTGCTAACGGAGCCACCAACAACTAATGACAACCTGTCAACACCACAACACACCAAGATTCACCACCACAACAAAGCACATCCATCGTCGAAGCCACCACTACCTCACAACGAACTGGTCAACATAGCACACCAACAAATTCTCCACCACAATAGAGCATCGCCGCCACTAGAGCCACCACCACCTCACAACAAACCGATTAACACATCATACCATTAGATTCACCACCACAACTGGCAATCTTGGTGAACGAACTTAATGCTGTCACTGTAAGCGCAGGGGTATTTTGAGGGATTATCCGCGTCGCTAGGGTTTCGAGAAATTTGGCAAACGTCCCTCTCCTTGTCATCATCCAATAAATCGTGGTTACTAACACCATTAAGCTTATTAACATCATTGGTATAACTACTTCCGGTGTCCCTCAAACCCAGCGAAGAACCACTCAAAGATGGTGCGAAGTTTGGCTTAGCTAATGAAGGGGAGGAAGATCGCTCCGTCGACGCAACGCTGTCGGTCAAATATCCATCTTGGCGTTGGAAAACTTGTAGATTTTCCTCTACTCTCTCTCTCTTAGGTTTTGGTTTAATTAGAGAGGGGCGGCAGTGCCGTGAGTAGTAGTGGTAGGCAAAGAAATTGAGAAGAGGGAAAAGAGGGGAATTGGTTTTTAGGGTTTGGGAAAGTGGGTGAGTGGGGTGGATTAATTTAATTTTTATAGGATTATTATAAATATTTAAAATTTTAATTATATCTGATTTTTGAAAGAAAAACTTGTAACTCTTGATTATGAATTGAGATCTTTAAAATACTCAATTCCTGTAATTTTCACTAATAATTTAGTGGCTCTTTACATAAAAAAAAAAAAAAAAAAAAAAGCAAGCCATAATTTTAGCCATTACTGGGAAAATCATATCACAATCCATAGTTTATTTTTGGAAGACAGAATATATTTCTTTTTACTCTGTCCAATGCAATTCATCACACACGCAATCAAAGTAAATTTCTAATAATGGCTCTCGCAACATCAGAGAGATCACGCATCTTGTTGTTGAATCCCGTTAACGGTGATTTAACCTTCTTGAAATTTTCCTCACATGCAACAGCTTCGATAGATGAATCCGCCATGCCATTTTCAGCAAACTTAGGATTCCCTCTTAAAGCCTGCTCTGCTTCTGGTACATCACCCACCAAAATTGCGTTGTACCTATCAGAACAGTCATTCAATGCAATTCTCAGCTCTGGTCGGGACACCTTGAGTTTTGTAATGGCTTTCATCGTTTCTTTCGCCTTGGCTTTCACAGCAGCCACCATTATAAGACCAAGACCCGCGACATCTTCATTGATACTCTGTTTTCCCAAGAAATGGTTGCCGGATCACAAGAATTGCATAGATAAAATCTTCAATCAATATTGTCTTGGATCTCTTGAAGAAGATGTAGAAGAAGAATATTATCTTGGATCTTCAATTGATTTGCCTTGGATCTCTTCAAGAATGGAGTAGAAGATTTTTTTAAGAGAGGCACAATGAGCAACCACACCAAAATTCGTGTTAGGGCTTAGGTAT